TTTTATATTTGCAACCAGAAATACATTCCTATAAGTTATTTAAGCCCTTTCTGTTTATGGAGAAAGGCAGATAAAGTCAGAGGACCATTGTGTTCTTATCCCAAAGGGCCAGTAATGTTAGTCTCCAGTGTAAGGTCTCCAGAGCACATTGGCACTGGGGTAGGAGTTGCTTTTCACGGAGGACTGAAAGATCAAAATCCTCTCATAAATGTAGGAGACGTGTTACTGGATCTGTGTGAAAATCCTTGAAAAAAAAAGAAAAAACTTGTTGACAAAAGTGAAATAATATTTTGGCAACAGAGAAAGGGGAATTTGTTTAGTTTTATTTCCAAGGAAAGCTTGCCTCTGAAAAATTACTTTGAATGGCACAAAATAATTTCTAAAGTTTGCTTGCCCTGCTTATCTTAATTTTAAATGAAGCCTATAGGGGCTGCAAAGCATTTGTGTTTATTTGCATAATACCAAGCTTTTGGAGAAGCCACCCTGCAGTGTAATGTCTCATCTTACCTGTGACAAGAAGCAGTCACAAACACAACAATCCTGTTTTGAGCAGTCTTCTGTGTATTTTCCTGGCCTTTGCATTCAGGCTGTGTCATGAGCAGTAATTTGGGACCCCTCCAATACATTAAGCTCCACAATCTCTTAGGTATTTTGTCATTTTATTGGCCATGGACCTGTTTGCCCACAGGCATTGTTTGGTGGCTTTCAACTAGTCCAAAAGCAGCGGTGAAATTTGTTTGAGACTACAAAATTTCTCTGTAAATGAGTTAAGGTAATTGTGTACATAAGAGGGAGGGGAGGGGGAGAAGAGGAAGAGAGGTGGAGAGAGAGGGTTTATGCCACTTGTGTAAAAGCTATAATCTGACACATCTAAATCACATTTAGATGGGTACAATCAAGCTGCTTTATCTCAAACACCCACCTGCTCTCAGGGCAGCCTCTCTGGGTGGCTTGCGAGTCATTTCCTTTCCTCAGCCTCAGCCCCCTTCCCCTGCCAGAACTGCTCTTGCCTTCCTCCCAGGGCCCACCAGCAGAGCCCTCGGGATGCTGCTGCTCCCTCTCCTGACCCTGGCTGCAGCCTGGCCTTGTAGGTTTCTATTATCCCCAAGGCATGGGACAGCAGCAGGAAGCATCCTGTACTTTTATTTATGATGCAGGATAATAATATTTGTTCTGTTTTCTCTCCTTCTGTCTAGGTGGACAAGCACAAGTGCTTCTGAAGCAGAGTCAAGCATCCATTACCAGAGGGCACACTACCACTGCATGGATGAACTGCATAGCCAAGGGCATATCTGACTTCCAGGGTGCATATATACATTGGTACCGACATGAGCCTCCCAAAGCTCCGGAACACATTCTGTGTGTTGGACCAACTTCACTTTATTATGACAGCAATTCCAACAGGAACATGCATTTTTCTTTGAAGAAAGGTACCAATGTCTGTGCTTTTGCAGTCAATGACATCACCTCCAACGATGAAGGCACCTACTACTGTGCTTACTGGCTGTCCCACAGAACCAGCAGATGACAGGCAGCCTGTACAGAAAGCTGCCTGTGCCAGAGGGACAGGCCTTCTGCCAAATGCAGAGAACCATAATGGCTCCTTCCTGCCTTTACAACATCCCAACGTGTTTCTGCTGTGTATGTTTGTATGGACAGCAGATAGAGAGAAAAGCAAAGAAATGCAGTCTGCTACGACTCAGCTGGTATAATGCTCTGTGCTGGGGAACAGGAGCACTCCCATGGGTGAAGGCATTGCAGCTGAATTATATAGTAACACAGATTGTCTTTGAATGCTACAGATACATTCCCAAATACAGTCTGAGGAAGCAAAAATTAAGTGATGGCAGGGAAGGAGCATAGGATGAGGATATTTGTACTGTACCTCATTGAAACAAGATGAGGCTCTGAGAACTACAATTCACCCCATAGATCCTTTGGTTGTGAGCGCTTACTCACGTGAGGTGCAAGGTAAACACGAGGCCCAGATCATATTATCTTCAACTAGCCCCTGACTTAAAGCAACAACACACAGTTCCTTCCATTTGCCATACAGTTACAGACAGAAGCCCTCGGGTGAGAAGCAGTGTGTCCATCCTTCCAGCCTGTCAAGATCCTTCTGAAAGGAGGCACAGCCCTCTAGGGCATCAGTCTCTCAGCATTGTGTCATCAGTGAATGTGCTAAGGAGGCACTCTGTCCCTTCATCCAAGTCCTTGATGGGGCCCTAGCCAGCCTGATCCAGTAGGTGACATCCCTGTGCATATGGTGAAGGTGTGAACTAGATGCTCTTTAAGGTCCCCTCAACCCAAACCATTCTGTTATTCTATGATTCTAGGATAGTCTAGGAAAGGCTGGTGAAGCATGCTTCTTGCACAGCCTTGAGGTGTCTGAGGAAAGGAGAACATCCTTGGGAAGGGCCAGGAAAAACAGCTTGAGTTAACATGTGTGTGCTCAGTAGATAATTCTGAAGTGAGTGCAGTAGGTAGATAGGTAAGGATTGTTTTTTTTAGATTGAGTATTTTATGTTCTTTCTACACTAATACTGCTGTGGTTCAGCTTGTCAGTAAATTTAACACTCTCTGTGGTGGTGACTTAAAGAACAACCATTGGTTGTGCTGAATGAGTCATTTCCTCCTCCCAGTCATTTGATACTTTCTCTGCCTGAAGCACTTTATAACATCTCTGTCTCTATTTATTTCATTTCCAGGTTTCATCTGCACAGGCAGCATGTTGCTCCTTCCAGTCCTTCTTGCAACTTCATTTTGGTCCTGTAAGTCCTTTTTCCCTCTCCCCTCTCCCTCCCATATATGGTGAACACACTCCTGGTTCCAAACTCTGACAGCTTCTCCCTTCACACCATTTTTCTGCTACCACTTCCAGGTGGAGACTCACAGTCAGTGCCGGTGCAAACGCCAGAGGTGTGGAGTCAGGTGAAGGGCAGCTCTGTCAGCATGTCATGCCGACTGAGTGGCACAAGCATCATACACTGGTACAAGCAGCTTCCTGGAGAG